GTGGTAGCGGCGTTACTTTCTTACCGAGGTACCAAACTGAGATCACGAGACGATTGGGTTTTTTATGTGCGGCTCAGAGCACCGCTAATTTTAGAATGTTGCTTTCTGACAAGAGCACGATGATATTTAACGAGCTATTGCTTTTTACAGTCTCGAAGATACGACTCCAGAACTACCATATTTTCTCCAGAAGGTATTTTTTAACCCCACACTTTCAAGTCAACTCTGATTGTTCTATCCAGCTTCTCAAAACTAAGTAACAAACTGCTTGTACAAAGGTTGGTTGTTTATAGCATGTTTCCATCCATATATGAGTTACGGAAATCATATATACCCACTAGAAGTAGTGCCCAATTCTGTAAGGACACCAAGGGTCCAAAGTGGAGACATCCAAATTCATTCTAATTCAATCAATTATGAGACCGTGCCCCATTAGTGAGTAATACCACCTGTCATGTTTTTGAAATAACATGAGCAAATCTTCACCATTCATCTTTTGTTTGAGTATGGATGGATTTTGTTACTGTTCCCCCCCTACCCCCGAGAATGCATAACATCCTGCTGGTACAATCACACCTCTCCTTGTTATTCTTACACATGCTGAAACAAGTACATAGAAGCCATGCTTTCCTATTTCTTAGATGGGATGGATTCAAAAAGTCTAGTAGCAAATATTTTCTTTGATTATTGAAACTCTATTTTGGCTTATTCTACTGCAGCAGAGAGTTCTGTAGAATTTTTTTTTTTTTTTGTAAAAGGGGTTTTTTTCTGCATTGGCGATGCCCTGTATTTTATCAGATTTGTGGATTTTCCTTCTCTGACTCCTTCCTCCCTTTCAACCAATTAATTTACTATCAACTGGTAATAGACTGAAGAAGGTGAGACTACAATGGGCATCTGTCAGATTCTTGCACATTTAAGTCACCTTGCATACTTGGTCTTGTTCAGTGTTACTTTTTTGATGTTACTAATTGAAATCCTTTCCTAGGTCGCTTGTACCAGGTTGAGTATGCAATGGAAGCAATTGGACATGCAGGTACTTGCTTGGGAATTCTAGCAAATGATGGTGTTTTGCTGGCAGCAGAGAGACGCAACATTCACAAGCTTCTTGATGAAGTGTTTTTCTCGGAGAAAATATACAAACTTAATGAGTAAGTTGAAATGATGATCAGATGTCCAGTGGCGCTATCAGTAACAAAACACTGTTGTTATACAGACATTTTAGCACTGAACCTGTTTTCATTTTATTTGAAGTGTTGTTATTCTTTTTGTTCAGTGTTTTAGACAGGTATGACTGTTTTGTCATTGTTCGCTTCAGTAGTTCTCCTTCTAAAGTAGAAGCATCACTTTTTTTTTTTAATCTCTAGGAGAATTTTTTAGGTGGAATAGCCTGTTGGGACTTCCCCAAACAAGCTAATGTCATTGTAGCACTTAAGAAAATTGGGGATTCTCAGCTTTACAAAATAGCATTTGGGGGGACAGAATAAAGAATGCATACAAAAATCACTACACTATTTCACCTCAGCATCCTTTTCTAAGTCTTTGTTTTTCTTGTGATTCAAAGAGTACAAGATAATTAGGTAAAACCTGCCTTAGGTTTCTTTGCCACAATTGTAGCAAAGATGATATCCCTCCATATTATGACTCCCTTTTTAGCTCTCTGGAAGTTAAATTTGTGATGTCAGAGTGAAGAGTGTTACGGATTATGCTCTTTTGCCTATAAGGGAGGTAGAGCTTCATCCTTGCCAGAAGGTGCACATGAAACACACACAATTTTCATCCTGTCAGCTTCCCATTGCGCGTTGATCCTGAAACTGTAGGAAGTACTGGATTTTGAAGGAGGCTGTTTAACAGTGCACTGGAGTACTCACCTAGGCCAGCCCTTCCATCTTCTGAAAAATTCTTAAGTTCACTTGGAAGAAATAACCTGGGTTATTTTTCTTGAATCCTTTCTGTGTAGTGAAAGCTTTGTAGCAATATCGGATTGGGCAAAAGAGATCTTAAATTAAGAGCTAATGAAACAATCAAGGACGTGAAGTGCTTATTTTTCTTATGATCAAATGAAGATCACTAAGTTTCAGTTACAAAAATGCAGCGTGTCAGCCAGCAACTTGCACTGAAGGCCTGTCGCGTCCCTGTGGCTCCTTCAGTGTTCTGGTGTGCTGTGTCAGGTGGCCTCCTGATAGGCACTGGTGTGTAGCTAATGCTCGTGTGAAGACACTGGGGACTTAATTGTCTTTGGCATGATTCTCTTCTCAGAACTATACGTGTAACTAATGTACTGACCCGCTTACTTTTTGCTGTCCACCTCTGCTCTTACAAAATGGTTGCATAATGTTTTTGATGTACCCTAAAGGCAGGAGCTGATAAACCTGTTTTATATGGCAGCTACATAGTTTTGATCAGAAAAGCCCAATGGTAGGTGTTCTGCTTGAACCACTGTATGAAAACCTGACTGTTTGTTGGAGATTGATAGGAATTCAGTTAATTTGTATGCTTATATTGCAGGGATATGGCTTGCAGTGTTGCAGGAATAACTTCAGATGCCAACGTTCTAACAAATGAACTGAGACTGATTGCGCAGAGGTAGGTCTGCTGATAGTTAATATGGTTTTACTTGCCTGCGCTGTTAGATTTAGTTCTGTTTATGTATTAAATCAACATGAACATGCATTTAGTAGAGCAGAAATAGAATGTTTGAAATAAAACAGCTAGATCAAAGAGGCTCTAACTTAGGAACTTGTTTCTTGTTAAATGTGGTACAGGATACTGTCAGCAAAACAAGTTTTGAAAACTGTTTTTTTTCCTCTTTCATATTAGGTATTTGTTACAATATCAAGAGCCCATTCCTTGTGAGCAACTGGTAACAGCACTATGTGATATCAAGCAGGCTTATACACAGTTTGGAGGTAATGAAGTGTGATGAAGGATGGTGCTTTTAGATGTCTAATAAATGATTCTGTTACATAATTTGAAGCTTGTGAGTCTCTGGACAGTTCTACCAAATTCTTCTGTAACAAGTTATACCGAGAAAAACAATAGCCAAATTTAAGAGGGGAATAGGTAGTCATGGTTACTGTTTTGCTACTGAAGATGCTACCTTTTAGTGATTGAGAAATTGATGGCTGAGATTCCGGCCCATTGCACAGAATGCTTTGAGTGCTCTTGGATTTAGTGAATGCCTTCAAAAGACCAGCAGAGAATTGTTTGATACGTAACCTTTCAACATTTTGGGCCCACCCAGCATAATGGCACAATGAATCGCAAATAAGACTGTATGTAGGGATATCAATATTCTAACACTTTAAAAAAATAGTATTTCTGTGGATAAAGTAACATGTTAGAAAATGATGTTCTAAGTAGTGTTCCTTAGTACATGAACTGATGATTCTGGTATTTTACATATATGTAGTGTGAAAGAATGACCTTTTTATGTACCTGGCTTTTGACACTGTTAAGTTATACGCTTTAACAGCCAAGCTACATAGTTTAAATATTAAGTTTTGATTTAAAGTCCTGAGATGATAAATTACAATTTGTGGAGACAGAAATGAGCTGCTCTTAGGGTTAAATGAAATAAACCTCTGCTGCTCCCCCTGCCCCGCCCCATGAGTTAGAAAGAAATGCTGGCGTGCTTATCTCAAGCAACAGAAGTACAGAATAGTCTGCTAAATCCTAGTTCACAGGAATAATTTGAAAAAGGAAATCAAAGAAAATAATTGTCACTCATGACCAAACTTGTTACTAAATTTAGATTGCTAATAGCCTTCTTTTCAACAGGAAAACGTCCTTTTGGTGTTTCGTTGCTGTATATTGGCTGGGATAAGCATTACGGATTTCAGCTATATCAAAGTGATCCTAGTGGAAATTACGGAGGGTGGAAAGCTACTTGCATTGGGAATAATAGTGCTGTAAGTTCTGTTTTTTGTCCTCTCAAGAAGTCAAGCAAATACAAAAGTGTAAATTGCACTGTATGGATTCAACTGAGCTGTTGATTACTAGTGCAGAGCAGAAATAGATAACTGTAGAAACACTGCTGTTACTCATGTATTGATATTATCTGGCAAAAAGCAGCTGTTTGGTTGATTGCCCAAAGATATAATTTTAATTTCTGTGTAATTTATAGGCAGCTGTGTCAATGCTAAAGCAAGACTACAAAGAAGGAGAAATGACCTTAAAGACTGCACTTGCATTAGCCATTAAGGTTCTAAACAAAACCATGGATGTTAGCAAACTTTCTGCAGAGAAAGGTAAGCAGTTTGCTAATACGGGATAATGCCCTTTGCTTAAAAAAATAAAATGTAGTGAATGTATATACACTAGACGTGGTTTATTGGATTTTTAGCTGTCACATGAAAAATGTTTTTAGAAGATGCAGCAGCTCTCAGCCTTAACCTTTCTAAGAGGCATACAGATAGCTTAGTTGAGCATGATCCACCTTGGTCAGCTCCAAGGGCTAGACCACAGTTTAGGGATCGTAGGCTGCAGTGATGCAGCAGCAGAAATGGTTACGTGTCTGGTAGAAGAATCACTGGAGAGGTATTAACGTGCTTGAATATGCTGCTGCAGAAGAGGACTGCTGCTGTCTGGCTGGCCAGTGAAGCTTCTTTGTAGAGGCAGGACAGGAGCCTTCTGCTTCATTGTCAGTTGTAACCACAAATCTTACCCTTCTGATGATTGCTCTGTCTAAAGGACAAAATGTAACGCTGCTGTCTGTTCCATATGTTTCAGTTGAAATTGCAACACTGACAAGAGAGAACGGAAAGACAGTAATAAGGGTTCTGAAGCAAAAGGAGGTGGAACAGTTGATAAAACAACATGAGGAGGAGGAAGCAAAAGCTGAACGTGAAAAGAAGGAAAAAGAACAAAAAGAGAAAGATAAATAGAATATGAAATCAAGTGTTCTGTAGATAATATAGGACCTGCTTCAGTAAAAGATAATCTGGATTTCTGTTTTGTAGAAGCCTACGAATATGCCATGGAGGACCCAGAATTACTTTTGATGAACCAGGTCCTTAATAATCATTCAGATAATTAGTTTACTGCTCCTTACATTGACCAATAATTGCTTTAATTCTTGAACGCTCTACTTCTTTCATCTTCTATTTTTTATTATGGAATAAAATTTAAGAAGAATAGTGATGGGTGTCTTTATTTCCTCAGTAATGCCTGGATATGCACAATCTTGAGGGATTTAATCGCTTTAAACCATTAAAACAAGGTATATGCTAGTTGGTAAAGAACAAATATGGTGTTAGACTTGTTAGAATTTTGTGTGTATGTGTGGGTTTTCCTTTTAAAGTAGTGAAAAGGGCTCCTAAGTTTGAAAAATCATTTCACAAATACAGAATTTAAGTGTGCTGGCATGCCAAGTTTTAATTTTGGCCTATTTTGTTCTATAACAGGCTATGTCAAACTGATGGTCTTGCAAGCAGTAGTGTTTTAAACATGCCCTGTAGCAAATGTGTTCAGTTTATCATAGCCTTTCATGAGTGCATGTGTTTTCTAAGAAATTAATCATATAACACTAGCTATATTCACACAAACTAGAAAGACATTTTACAAAGGCCACGTGAAAATGTTAAGTGTTAAGCTATTTTGTCAAAATACAAATAGGTAAATAAAATAGCGCATAATTTCAGGCCATGTTGACTATTTTACATTTTATCCTTAAAGGAAATGGAGATGTTCTATATTTAGTTTAGTGTTGCTGATACTTCCCCAGAGAATTCGGTTCCCTTCTCTGACAGACAACAGTCTAGAAAACTAACCAGTTAACCACTTGAGAAATCATAATATTTGTGCATGAATTAGAAATTACAATAATTTTTGTTCAGATTGTCCGTATACTAAATGCAAAGTAATGTGATTTTCAGATTAACAAAAATCTCTTCTAGTTTTGAAAAAAAAAAGATCTGGAGTTAATAGAGGAGATGGAAACAAGTTACTGAAAATTATTTTGCGCCCTTTCAGTTATCAAAAGCAAACTGAAAAGCTCACTCAAGTGACGTGCTTAAATGAGAGGCCTTACCTGCTGAATTTCAAACTGTGACACTAGTGATCCAGCCCCTTTGTGTTGACCCTGGATTGTGTCTATCTCATAGTTTTTTTGGGGGTTGGGTTTTTGTTTTTGGTTTTTTTAACCCCAAAGGTTATCTGGTGGTTACAGGATTTAATATGACCATTTAAAGAAACAGAGTGAATCCATACAGTGTTGTATTATTTTTAATCTATCCCAGACATTTTTGACTGATAAAATGTACTTTGTCAACATGGCCAGAAATTACCCTTAGTCTCAACAAAACCTGTTTTTGAGCTCATTGCTGTAGGATTCACTGTTGAGAACAGAGGAAGGAATCTGACTTGAGGTGTCTGTGCTGCAGCTTGCGTAGATGTACTGCACTGACTTTGCCAACCTCTGTACTGAGAGCGGTGTGGGGTGGCATGGGTCCTGTGCAGGCTGCAGGACCTGCTTCTTAATTCTAAGTTTCAGTGCAGGCCAATTGCTTTAGTCTTTTGTACTGAACTTAGACAGTACTTTGTTAGCATTCAAATTTTATAGCTAATGATAGTTATGCTCAGTTTTACTTGCACCTTGTGCAACAGTAGATCTTCCAAATAATTACATAGGAATGATATTTCATGTAACAAGTCCTGAACAGTTGCAGACAACATGCAATGGGTAAGATTTAATCTCCATTATAAAGGGTTGTATAAATACCTCAAGTTCCATTTTTATGTTGAAAACTCAGTGCTCAATCTTCTTATTTTTTGATACCATGAATGCAATATATCAGCATCTTTTGCAGATTTCTAGATCACTGATGATGGTTATACAAGTACTTGGAATATGCCCTAAAAGCAGCAATGCCAAAATGGAGGTTTTTTCTAACTTCTCAAACATCGCTTGAAACAAAACGTGACAGACTCCAGCAATGCTTTCTGTCTTCTAGGAAACCATTAAGAGCACCTGAGTCTGGGTTCATCAATGTATATAAATCACACAGGGCAATTTGTTTAGTGTACTAGTAGAGGTATTATTAGATAGCTTAGGATATAGATTTATTAAAATATTTTTTCTTAAATGCTTCTGTTTCTAACAAAGAGGGGATAACAAATATATTTGGATCTTTGTTTAAAGAATTATCAATAGCATTTCTTTGCCAAACGCTACATCATTTGCTGGTAAAAGAGAACTTTTTAGATACTGTAATAATCAAAAGTTGGAATGACTTAATTTTCTGATCTGTACTCCATTATGTATTGGAGCATTCTGATAACTTGTGTAGTTACACTACATTTTAAAAGATCTATTTATTTAAAGTTTTGCTTACCCAAAGTAAAAGTATTGTCAAATACTTTGAGTATAATCTTTGAACAATAATTACTGATTTAATTTGAAAAACGCCATCTCTACTGAGTGCCATTAATAGCTGATGGTAAGATAAGCCTCAGTACTGCCTTGGAATAGGCACGTAACTCTAGCTGGCGCTTGTATCCAAGATGTACGGTAAAGTTCTGCTGAACTACATTTAATTTCTGATTCCTTTTTGCATTTTAACCTAGGACAGTAAGCAGATGCTGGAGACCTTTTATTGACTGGAATCTTCCTTACACTAATGCAAGTTCCTCACCTGTTTTTCCTAGAAATAGAGCAGCGTTTGACTGCATAGGCCTATTGTGTTGATTCTGGCTTTGTGTGTTTGAAAAAAAAAAAAAAAAAAAAAATCACCACTATCTGTGCCTTTTCTGGGAGTGGTTTGGGGATAAGTCGTAAGAACAGAAAAATGATTTTGGCGATACATTTGAGTTGTCTTTGCTAATCAAAATGATCTTCCTGTTCTTTGTATGTTTTTTTGGTGTACGTAGTGTTTACGTAGAGTTTATAGTGTATTACATAAGTATTTCAAATATTTAGCTATTGCTGTGGATTAAATGTTGTTTTAACACCAGAACTTCATGTGGTGCTGTGGAAAGTGACAGATTTTTCAAATTAGGTAAAAGTATTTACTTGAAACTGTTTGCATAATATGATGTTAGTAAACTTAAAGACTGGATAGTTTATATCTCACTTGAGTGCATGATAGAACTTGTTAGGGCAAGCATTCACAAATAGATTGTCCTAATAAATTGTAATGTGTTTTGTTATTCTAAGTAGTTTAAGAGATAATGAAACTACTGCTGCTCCCGTAATACCTGTGCTGTCTCTTGCATCTGTCAGTGTTTAAAAAAGAGTTAGCTTGTTTTCTAGATGACTGTATTCTGTTCAAATAAAGTCAAATTAACTTCTAAGACTGCTTCTTATGTGACTTACTGTATTGTGCACTGGAAGACAGAAGATTCCTTTAGATGTACTTCCCTATTCATCCAAATATTTTTACTTGTCAGAGTTATAAAAGCACCCAAATTAAGATGATAAACAAAGGACTTTTTGTGTTAACTTTGACTGCTGCTTCTGTTTTGTTATGGATTCCCAAGGTAATTACTTATTCTTTCTGTTCATAGTCTTAAAATTAGGGACAATACTTCTCCATTGTGTTGTGAGAATGAATACATAATGATTACAAGGTATTCAAATTAATGGTTTAGAGGCCACAGAACTGTATGTGATAAATAGATAACATAGCTAAGCATATACAAGACATGTAAGTCCAAGAAGTTAATGCACTCAGGTACTTAATACATGAGAGAAATGATGTAGCTTCAGACTAGACGAGATTCTAGGACTTACTTGTCTTTCATTTTCTTTAAAGAATATTTTCCATTACAGTTTCTCTGTAGTAAAAGTTGTCCTCGTTTTCAAGTTTTAATTGCAGTTTTTTCTATTACAATATGAAAAACCACTAAAATAACTTGATCTGAGAGTACCCTTCACTGGTTATATAGCTCTTGGCTTTAATCTGGAGAAAATACAGCTTCACAGAGAAGTTTTTAGAATATTTCTGATTTTACAAAGAGAACTGAGCAGCTTGCTATTTTTATCTGTGATTAATTCGGCATTTGGCTTTCCAGTTCAAGTACTCTTCAGTGCACAGTAAAAGCTGCCATCAGCGAATTTACTGGAGATTCTCAGAACATACTTTAGTGAGGACCTTCAGGTGTCAACTCCTGCTGAGAAGGACCCTTTGAAAGATAGCAGACATTACTCATGTAATTGTTTTGGCTTTCACTTAATGATTAATATTAAACTTAACATGCTGCTGTTAGTATTAACATTTTGCTTCAAGTTCAAAGCAGCAGGAAAAAATGGCTTCTTACTTATAACTCCTATTTTCTAAAACAGTAATAATACAACATAATTAATGTGTGCCAGATGATGCTACATAAAATATTTAGCAAGACATTGGGCATGTAACTGAGACAGTTTAATCCTTTTATATCTGACGGCATCTGTTTTGCCTAGCTAGGATCCAGCTGCAAACAAATTCATAGTTATGTAATAAAACCAGTTCGCTGTGTCCTGCACATTCGAGTGGCAACTATGTTTAACACTGTTAACTAGACATTATGACTCTAAAATGCATTTACTGCAATGCACATACGCTGCTAACAGAAACAGAGATTTTACGTGATAACCTTACATTAGGAATATCAGGTGCAGTGCAGTGGTGGACCGGTTGTCATCAAAAACTACAGATTTGCAATTTCAGTAGAAACACTGCCCAGTAATTTTTGGAGCACTCAGAAAATATTAGAACTCCAGTGTATCATAAAAGAATAAAATAGGGGGTTTTGTGCCATGCTTTGGGCTATAATATATTTTTATTTACTCTAAAATCTTGGGTTGACCACTGCATACACACTGAGCATTTCAAAATAAGAGTCACACGCTGCATCCTTTAACACACACATATTTCGATCGTGGAGGACATTCTGTATACAAATGGATTCTCAATATGTAAAAGGACCATATTTACTGCAGAGCATTCAAATCAATACAACATGTCACTAGAAGTGTGCTGGAAGAAACTACTGTGTAAGCAGCTTTTTTTCAGATGGCTTGTATGGACTTCATTATGCCTTGCACAGACATGCACAACCTAAATATGGCTGCAGGATAAAATACTACAGAAAAACACGAGTTTAAAAATTAAGAAAGGGATTGAAATGCTTAAGTACGCGGTTTTGGTCATCAAAAAGATTCATGATTTACACAGAGAGATGCACTATTTTTCTATAAAATGAGCATGATATAAAAGAATTTTGGTAATTGACAACGTGCTTAATGAAATGACTCCTTTGGGTAATGCTCATTTTAGGAAGGTACAAAGTTGCTAAAATTATTTGAGTTGAATAAGGTCCATTTTTCTGAGGAATCTGGTATCTAGCACTTCTCATGTAGCAGCCAATTAACGCTGTGTAAAGCCATTTA